TTATTATTATTATTAAAATAATTTTAATTAATTATTTTATTAAATATTTATATCGTATATACATAAACAGAACATATGGAAGAGGTTAAATTTGATTGATTTTGTTTACAAGTACTGGTTCAATAATATATGATAATTTTATTATTATTTCTTGAAATCGGGCACGATCAATTACGTCTTGCATCCAACACTCTCCACATCTAGCTGTCCTATGGTTGTAAGCCCAGTGAAATATGTACCGGGTGTTGGTATGATCGTTGAACTGGACCCTCTTTTTTATCGGTGATCTGCACATTACGTATCTTTTTCACAATCTCAATGTATTTGATGTCTTCCTTTAAACATTGGATATTTGCCAGGAATTCATTTAACCTTGCTCTTGCTCACTAGATATACGGGCTTCTCCTGGATTATTTTCTTCAATTCGGTAATGTCAGAAGCCGAAATTATTTTTATGTAGCGTTCGGGTAAACTGACTTTACCCTCTGCACATGTCACTACTATTCGGGGTCCAAACTGACCCAAGACAATGTCGATGTCTTCTCTTTTGTATTTTACATCGACTTCTAGTTGGCTGGTTCTAATGGCTTCACTAATGCTTGTTTGTTAATGGCACCAAACATTTTTTTTCCTCTGACAATTATTTCGATAAACAAGTAGACTTTCAATATTCAACGTCTTAAACTCAAATGAGCTGGAGATGCTCCACTCCGCTATTTTATCCAACTTGTATACACAGCAAAAAATAGATGATCTCACTACTATGACATCATCATCCGCACATTCCGTTCTTTGTGTTTTTAGCCAACATTCGTTATAGAAACATGTTCTTACAAGTATTTCTTAGAAGCAACATAATAACTTATCATTATTTATTACCCCGCATCCTTTAATGTTTTACCGTCGCTCCAGCTCCAGACTCTAGATAAACTGGTGGTGACATGTTTAAAGCAGTCGGCAAACAGCCCCATCTGCTTTCACATAATCTAACTGATTATCATCATTCTTCGCCCATTCTGCTCTTTGTGTCTAGCCGACATCTGCTATAGAACCATGTTCTTATCAAGAAATAACAGCAACATAATAACTTATCATTATTTATTACCCCGCATCCTTTAATGTTTTACCGTCGCTCCAGCTCCAGACTCTAGATAAACTGGTGGTGACATGTTTAAAGCAGTCGGCAAACAGCCCCATCTGCTTTCACATAATCTAACTGATTATCATCATTCTTCGCCCATTCTGCTCTTTGTGTCTAGCCGACATCTGCTATAGAACCATGTTCTTACCAAGTATTTCTTAGAATCGACCTAATAAATC